AAGATGTCCAATCGTGCTTTTGATAAGATGGTCCAATCGTGCTTTTAATAAGATGTCCAATCGTGCTTTTCTGAATGTGCGTGCTTTTAATAGAAGATGTCCAATCGTCCTTTAAAAGATGTCTAATCCGTGCTCCTTCTCAATAAGCAGTGCTTCCCACCATCGTCCCTTTGTATCACATAACGAAGTCCAATCCTGCTCTCCAGCGCCTCTTTAAAACGATGTCCCACCTATCGCCTCTCTCTGATAATCAAGCAGTGTCCCAATCCGTACCCTCTTCTCCAATAACGTTATGTCAAATCTCGTACACCCCTCCCCATCCTCTATTCACTCTTACTACAGAGATGTCCAATCGTTCTCCCCCCTTTTATTAAGATGTCCAATCGCTTGCTTTTGTAATAAGACATGTCCAATGTGGTCGTTGCTTTTTAATCAAAGATTAGTCCAATCGTTGCTTCCTTCTCGATAAGATGTCCAATCTGCTCTTTTGATAAGATGTTCCAATCGTGCTTACCATTACGAATACAGATGTCCAATCAAGTAGTAGCGTTTAATAAGATGTCCAATCGTGCTTTTGATAAGATGTCCAATCGATGCCTTTTAACTAAATGTCCAAATCCGTCCCGTGTTAATATTAAGCACTTGTCCAATCGTGCTTTTCAATAAGAATTTCCCCAATCGACTCCTTCTTGATAAGATTCCAATCGTGCATTCTAATAAGAATGGTCCAATCGTGCTTTGCATTGAGTATCCAATTGTGTTTCTTATAATAAGATGAGCCAATCGTGCTTTATAAAATAAGAGCTCAACTCCCGTATCCTTGCTTTAATATGTCGAAATCCGTGCTCTTTTTTGACATAGATGGCCAATTCGTCGCTTTTAACTAAAATGTCCAACGTGCGTTTATAAAGATGTCCAATCGTGTTGCTCTTTATCAAGATGTCCAAATCGTGCTTTTAAATAAGACTGTCCAATCGTGCTTTTTTAAGCAGAGTCCCAATGTGCTTTTTAATAGAATGTACCAATCGTGCCTATTTCAACTAAAGCAATGTCCCAATCGTGTTTTATAATAAGATGTCCCAATCGTGTTTTTAAATAAATGTCCAATCGTGCCTTTAATAGATTGGTCCAATTCCGTGCTTATGAATAAGTATGTCAATCGTGCTTTGTAATAAGGATGTCCAATCGTTGACCTCTTTGAATACGAGCATGTCCCAATCGTCTCCTTTAATAAGATGTCCAATCGTGCTTTTAATACAAATGCCCCAGATCGTGCTTTTAATAACAATAATGATCCAATCGTGCTTTTAATAAGATGTCCAATCGTGCTTTTAATAAAAATGTCCCAATCGTGCTTTTAATAAGATGTCCAATCGTGCTTTTAATAAGATGCCCCAATCGTCTTTTAATAAGATGTCCAACGTGCTTTTAATAAGATGTCCAATCGTGCTTTTAATATGTCTTCTTTGATCAGCCTTGATACGGCTATGTATCACTGAAGGATCCTCGTTATTTTGTAAACAAGTGCGTTTTGTCTTATGCTGGTAATATTGATTAGTCTCGCATTCCGTGTGAGTCAGCAAATTTTTATTCTTAGCTCCGTCTCCGATGTAGCCTCTGTTTTGTTTTGTTTTTTTCTCAAAATATTTCGTCACTTGATATGACTAAGTATCTCAATTTCTTTCGTCTCTCTCTCTCTCTCTCTCTGTCTGTCTATTCTCTTATTCTTCATATTTCTCGTCTCCCTCTCCTCCCTCTTTCGCTCGCCCTATCCTCTCTCCTCCTACTCCTGCCCCTCTTCAGTTTCCTCTTCCTCTTCCTTTCTCTTTCTCATCATTCATCTCCCTTTCCCAGTCTCTCTCTGTCCCTTCCTCTCCCTTTTTTCCTTCACAAATCCAAATACAACCAAAGAAATAAAAAACAGATTTTCAAACATTTTATTTTCAAAAACAAACAAATCACAAGAAGAGAATAAAAAAACAGACAATTTTTCCACAATACAAAAAAATAATTCCATCTACTCTTCTCGTCTCTCTATCCATCTCTATTTCCATCCATCTATCTCGTATACAATAATGATACTAAAAAGGACAAACTTATTTATCCCTATGTCTTCTAAATTATCCATTTCGATTTATCCTTTCTGTCTATAGATCGATTATAATTTCCATCAATTAACCTATAAAATAATAATTATTAAAAAAAATATTGTAACTTATCCAACTCCATCTATCGACCGATTTTTATTCCCATTAATCCATCCAGAATATAAATTATAATCCTAGTTATCTCCAAGTCTTCTAACTTATCCAGTTATCCATCTTCTGACCTACTTTTATTCCCATTAATCCATCTATTATATTAATCAAAATCCTAGCTATCCCAACGTATCCAGTTCCATCTCCATTTCCATTAATCCGTCTATAATATAATTCAGAATCCTGACTATCACTCAGTCTTATCCAGTTCTATTTACCGACCTCTTTTTATTCCCAATAAA